CACAGCCATTGTTGCTTGCTTTAGAGATATAAACCTCTTCCCCGCCCCCCCCCCCCCCCCCTCCCATTTTTATGGCTGACACTTTGCACAGTGGTTTAATTAAGTGCGGGCTTGACCAGCTGAAAAGCTCCGTGCAGAAAAACCTGTCAGAGAGGCTGTTAATTCCACCTTCTACCCATGCGTGTGTCCCCCGTCCCAAGGGAGCAGAGGCAGATTTGGTAGTTCGATGCACAGTTTTCAAATCCCGCATCTTTTGGGGCTGAAATTACTCCACCAACTTTGGAGCTGGGTTTCTTTGGGACAGGCTTTAGGTTCTGTCAGTGTCCGGATGCTGGGTTGAGTTTGATGCTAATTGCCTGAGTGATATTATAAATCCTGCCATCCAGCAAGGCTTTGCCCTGCCAACATTTGGGAGGACTTGGTTAATAAGAAGATTAACCTATTATTTCCTTCTGGAGGGTGGGAATGCACCTTTGAGGGAAGAGAGTGCTCTGCATCACCTTGCTGTAAAGTGTCTGCAGTCACTGAGGGCTGATTCAACCACACAGAGTATGGGTGTAAGGAGGTGTGAACCCAGTGTTCCCCCCAGCCACACTCCCCCACCTCTGGCAGTGTTGCAGACACATCAGGTCGCAGGCTGAGAGATGCTCAGGCTAGGTCCCTACAGGGAAGTTTGCTGTGGACCCAGCGGTGGTTGTTAGCCCAGATGTGTCCTGGTTCTTGAGGTCCAAGCCACAGGACCCTGTGCCCAAGTGCTGAGCCAGTGAGCCCTCTGTGTTTTGAGCGCAGGAGAGCGTAGCATGGAGCTGTGTGGGAACACCTCAGGTTTGGAAGTGAGAATGTTCTCTGGGTTGTCCTATTCCCACCACCCCCTGCGACAACGGAGAGTTTGCTTGTGTTCAGAGAGAGGGAAGGAAGGACTCTGCTTTTGATGGTATCCACAGGATCAAGTCTGAAGTTTAACCTGCAGAAGGATCAGGGCACTCGACCTGAAGATATGTCCTTTTCTTCCAAAGGTTTATCTGATGGAAGAAATTGCTTCTGCCTACAACTCCTGTCTCGCTTCCATCTGCTCACCACCTTGCTTATACCCTCTCACCACCATAACATCAGCCCCACCACTTCTATTTTTCCTGCTGGCATTAAGAAGGAAGCTCATTCTCATCTAGCAGTCGATGGCGGTTGAAAACAAAATGTAGGTTTTGCTCCCCCATCCCACCTCTTTTTCATTCTTGAGAAAGACCTGAGTAGTATGTACAAGCTGCAAGGCCAATGTAATAAAAAAGGCTGCATGGCTAAGCATTCAAAAGTCTGGATTTATGAAGAACGGGTAAACAACTTTTCCTCCATCTCATTGCAAGCAGCAATGTTAGACAGCAGTAAAGTCTAATTATGTAATCAAAGTTACTTTGCCAACATCTATGTTCCCTCAGCGACGCAAGAATGAATGACCTTGCACAATTTTATAGGAGGAATGGGGTGGAACTGCTTCAATGGAAATTTATATCATCCGTGGCCAAGCCAACAACTGGGAGGGAGGAAACACAGAATTAATATTTACTGGGGTTTTAGGGATTAAAACTAAGATTAAACTGACATTCAGATACCTTTCTTTCGCATTTGAAGAGGAGCTCATCTTAGAAATTATGAAAGAAAGCACACTTGAAGATAGAGAAGGCAGAGCACTACCTCTGGACCTCTAGCTGAGGCTGAAAGAGGTGCTTTAAACCTGACTCAATCCAATATATAAAACATGACATGGAAATCTCCAGCGTTCACCAAGAGGAAGTACTTCCAGTAGATAGATCTAGAATATCCCAGTCCAACAGATATCCCCCACACCCTTAACATAAGGTAACAACACCTATTAGGGCAAATTTGCAGACCAATATGGACAGACATGGAAATATGGCACAACACACCTTTACACCGGTATCGTTAGGAAACAGGGCATCAAATGCATCCACCTGAACCCTGGAAACAAATCCTGACCCTGATACAGTGAACGAGGGCAGACAGCAAGCCAAAAGTAACTTCTACAAAGTGGGAGGTATAGTCCCTCCATGGGACTATACAGCCAACGGAGGGCTGTTTCTGTTTCTGTGAGTATCCTACACTTTCCTGAGGGATTAAAGGATCTAAAGAACAAAATATTCCAAAATAAAGACTTGCATTTATGCTACTATTAGATATGCAGATACAACAGGAAGGATTTCTAGACATAGACCACTATTCTAACTCACCAGTAAAGTACATTCAGGACCACACTACTCACCAGCCACAAAGTAGTGAGTGCCTTATTGCTTGTGTTAAAAAGTAGGTGAACCAGGTAGGATATTACAACTGATACTTAAAGCAGAGAAATTTTGAGGGTCTCGGATGTGATTTGATCTCTTTTCTGTATTTCTAGCAAGGAGTGTGTGTGTATGTGAGAGAGATGGGGGGTGGGGAGCTGAAGAGGATGCTGTATATGAAATTCAACAAAGAAATGGATCATTTCCATTATATAGCCATGAAGAAATACCAGCGACATTCTGTCTATCTATTCACGTATCTAGCCATCTAGCCATCCTGTAACCCAATTAACCCAGTCCTTTTAGGGTGAATAAATGTGTTCTGATATCAGCCATTATTTTTCAGTACTCTCAGTTTATTCTCCAGGGTGGGACAGATCAATAACCACAATAGCAACCGACCCAAAAGGAAAAGGCAATCTCCTGGCACTTCTTATTTATTTCTTCAGAGGCGATTTTATTTTTCCTGGCTCTTCCCCCTGGTGACGGATTTTGCCTCTCCTGCCCAGAACGGCCGTGTTGTTTTATCCCGGGCTCTATTTGCATGTGGGCTTCAGATTCATCTTTGGCTCCTCGCACGGTTTGGGATGAGACCCTCCCGTCCCCAGAGAGGGGGGCAGGTGTTGCTCCAGTCGAGCGAATGGAACCAAATTACAGGACCGTCTGTCGCCTCCTCTGGGAGCCGGCGGAGGGAGGGGAAGGAGGGGAGGGGAGTGGGATGCCGTATGACAGAAAAGAAAAGCAGAACATCATCCTGATGCCGATAAGAGCTCGAAAACATGAGTCACCCCGGCCCACAGCCCCACCCAAAACCAGGCAGCAGCCACCTGAAAGAGAAATGTCGGCAGCAGAGACAGAAATAAATTGAGTCACTGGGCTGGAATAACTCGGGCTTCAAATGAAAGAGAGCTTCAGACCCTCTCCACTTTCAGACACACAGGCGCAGGCACACAGTCGGACCAGCTAACGCTGCTTTTTCTCACAGCTCCCTGCTGTCCGCTTTGATGCCTCCTCTCCGTCCCTCCAGAGCAGGCTCCCCTGACCACCACCGCTCGCCACCAGCTCCTCACAGCCCAGCTCTACGTGCAGCTCCTCTCCTCCCCTCCCTCCTGGCCTCCCCGCAGCCACGTTGCCCTTTGAGGTCCCTGAGAGTTGCATGGTCGCACAGAGGTCCTGCTCCTCCATCACTGCCAGCCCGGTCCTTGCTCCTGCAGGCAGCTGCCTGGAGCTCCAGCTCCTGAGAGAGCAGGTCACGTTACAGAAGTTACACTCTTCTTAGTGATTTAATACAAAAACTTCTCTTGTTTTTGGTGCTTTTTCCCCCCCGAGCTCTCCTACATGCTTGCAGACACACTTGTCTTGGGCTCCTTACCACAAGAAAGACATTGAGGTGCTGGAGCGGGTCCAGAGAAGGGCAACGAAGCTGGTGAGGGGTCTGGAGAGTAAGTCTTATGAGGAAAGGCTGAGGGAGCTGGGGTTGTTCCGTCTGGAGAAGAGGAGGCTGAGGGGAGACATTATCACTCTCTACAACTACCTGAAAGGAGGTTGTAGAGAGGTGGGGGTCAGTCTCTTCTCCCAAGTCACAGGCAACAGGACTAGAGAAAATGGCCTCAAGTTGCACCAGAGGAGATTCAGGTCGGATATTAGGAAAAATTTTTTCACTGAAAAGGTTATCGAGCATTGGAATGGGCTGCCCAGGGAAGTGGTTGAGGCACCATCCCTAGAGATGTTTAAAAGGCGGGTTGACATGGTGCTGGGGGACATGGTTTAGTGATGGTTTTTTTGTCAGAGTTGGGTTGATGGTTGGACTAGATGATCTTGAAGGTCCCTTCCAACCTAGATGATTCTATGATTATA